TCAGCACAGTGCCACTGAACACTTGCTTCTAGATCTCAGCCGGAGCAGGAACCCGCTCTCCTGCCTTGCATTCCAGAAAACCCCCCCAGCACCCGTGATCAGATTGGGTACCACCTCTCTGGCATTGGCTGATGAATCCAGCCACAATAAAAAGTCCCAAGGTTTTTTTTGTTTTTGTTTTTGTTTTTACCACTTTGAACAAAGCAGCAGAGTAGCTATGATGCTGTCAGACGTGGGTTCTAGGTTTCCTGTCACTTGATCTGTGACCCCAGGCCGATGATTTACCCCTTCAAGCCTCACTCCCTCATCTGTAAAATGGGAATGATGGAATGACAGGGTTTAGCACTCAATACGTATTCAGCCAATTTTTTAAGTTAATAAATTTATACTGTCGGATTCTAACTCTTTCTTTTCCAAGGTTGGACAAAGATGAGAAGGTTTTGCTTTGTCTTCACTTATCCCTAATTCTCTGGGCGGAGCTGGGTGGCTCTCGGGATGCTGTGGGATCCAGTGGGATCCAGAGGAAGAAGAGATTCCCAAGGTGCAGGCTGGGCACAGGGTTTAAAAGGGCAGCCCAACGTTCAGTTTGATGGTCTGAACTTGATCAAGCCTAAAATATCTTTCTTACTATTTGCTTCTTCTCCCTCCTATGACTTCCCACACCCCTCTTGGGTAGAGCTGTTGGCATTTTTAGCTGCTCCCTTTCAACCTGATTTACTGCCTTGAGGTCAATATAACAGTTTTTGTTTTAGTATTTATTTTTTAAATGTTTTTATTGATTTTTTTTTTTAAGAGAGAGGAAGGGAGCGAGAGATAGAAACATGGGTGTGAGAGAAACATCTATCAGCTGCCTCCTGCACGCCCCCTATTGGAGATCAAGCCCATACCCAGGCATGTGCCCTGATGGGAAATCGAACCAGGACCTCTCAGTCCATAGGATGATGCTCAGTCCACTGAGCCACACCAGCTGGGCTGCTCCAGTATTTACTTATATAACTTGCTGTTTGACCTGTAAAGTGACCCACATCCACACAGTAGGTTAAACCTGTGACAAGAGAATACTTTGAATAATTCCTATTCTGGGTGCTCCCAGGGAGGGTATCAGGAAGGAAAAAAAAAGGTTCCTGAACTAAGGATTGGGACTAGCCTGGTTCTAATGCCCTCTGCCCCAACTAAGTTTGGGGAAGTAATTTTATATCTTAACCACAAATGTTAAATTTACAAAGGCTGCTAGTTGAACAGGGTATAAGAGCAAAGTTTTTTTCTAGCTGTGATTAACTGCAACTACCCTACTTTTAACCACGGGTTAGTTTCTGAAAGTTTAGGTACTCCTTGAAGGCAAACCCAGTTACTTTCTAAGGGGTTTTTAAAAAGAGATCAAAGTTAATTGATTAATTTATATTTTTCTATCCAGAAAACATTTTATTCCAACGAGAAGCCAGGTACGACCTTAAGTAATGGAAACACACAGTGGCCAATCCTGGCCCCCAGGGAGTTCGCGGCCTGGTGGAGGAAGCAGCCCATGCAAGTCTGTAACTGAATTATGCAGGGTTTACCATGAGAGCCCCAAAGAGGAGACAGATTCTCAAGCAGACTGGGACAGTGAGGGAAAGCAACACCCACAAGGTATCAAGTGAGCTGAAACTTGGCCGATGAGTAGTTCTTGCCAAGATGAAAAGGGCATTCCAAGCAGGGGAGAGAACCTTCCAGAGGCATGGAGGAAGGAAAGATAGGCTGGATTTCAAAGACAGCAAGGGCATTTGCATGGCTGGAGCAGAGGCTGCCAAGGCAAGTCCAGTGGGACAAGATTCCTGATAAACAGCAAAAGCTCGATCGGGAAGGAGTCCATGCATCTTACTGAGGATTCTGGAGTGCATTCTGAAGGTCTTCAGTAAAAGAACACCCGAGTCAGATTTGCGTTCTGTCACATGCACTGCCGAGAACAGGGAGGATGGGCTGATGGAAGAAGAGGTGGAGAAGGGGAAACCAGCCCTAAATTAAGGAAAGAAAGACAAGACTAGTAGCAGGTTTTGCTGGGGGGAGGTTCAAATACAGAGTTAGATGTGAGGTCTGAGGTTCTTGAGTTCGATGTGAGCACCCAGGGACAGATGTCTACCAAGCAGCTAAGAAAATAGGTTTGTGGTTCAGGGTAAGGCTAGACACAGAGAGGTGGAAATTGTTGACCTACCTCTAAGGAGGAGCTAAAAGAGAAAACTTTCTAACACCACTAACAAAAATTCAACAAAACAAGTACAAAAATAGCAGTAGGGAGGGGACAAATAATTTCTATGGTTTTCCTTAGGCTTTTTTCAAATGACAGTATTTCCAATATCTTCAAGGATAAACATTTCTTCTTTATAGCCCATTCCTACATTGTATAATAACAAGTAAGAATATAGGTTCCAATATTATCAAATGTGCAGGCATATTGCATGTGTGTGTGTGCGTGTGTGTATGCCCTTTCTCATTCTAGGAAAAGATGGCATATCAGCCTCAAGCCAGGTGAGGTCCCCAAGAATAGCTAGACAAATATGAAGCTTTCTTCTTTACAGTTTTTGTGGTCCAGTTTCTGCAGGCCCCTCCCCTGGGCTAGTGGAGGAATGTGTTGGGTGCTGAGGACTGGGTATCAGGCAGACAACATATTTCTGACTCTAGACGTGCCACTGGAGTAAAGAGCCTGAGAACCGGAAGTGCTGCCAGAAATAGCAAGGCGCATGCACCCACTTCCCAGAAGGGCGCTGGGTCTCAGCACAGGGCGCAGGCAGCTTGAAGCAAATTCCTGGCACTGGCACGGCCCTGTCTGTTGCATAACTTACAGCTACTGGTTCCCTCGCGCGAGAGCACTGGCGTGGGCTGGACATTCTCTGTTCCTCTGTGAGACCATTTCCCAGTCATCACTATTATCAGGTGACCTGCCCCACTCGGTCAGCCTCCCTTCTGTTTTTCCCGGCTACCTGTTGAGAATCTGATTTTTAATGAATGATGATGACCCAAGGACTGTCCTCTGTCAGGTCCTAGATGTGTATTCAAAACAGGAGCCCCAGACATGTAGTCAGTAGACGAGAGAAAACCATGAACAACAGGAAGAGCGAGTGTTAGCAGGAGATGTTTGCTGCCCCAAATGCACTGCTCCACCCCAGCGGAAGGAGCCGGGGTGGGGGTCTGGGGCACATCACAAGGAAAGGGGGGCTGTGGCCTGGCGGAAGCAGTTCTGACCCACAGGAGGCTGCGTCCCCGTGGACAATGCATTCATATTAATAACTGTAGCCGTGCGCTTTCTCTCTGGACCTGTCCAAGCAGGAATTGGAAAAATAGGATAATAGCTCAGGAATGCCACATAACACAGCAGAATGCTTTGAAAGGGCAGCTAGTTGTTCTTTGTGCTTATTCTAGTTAGCACTAAACTCAGTGCACTTATGGAGTGTGTCACCTGACCTGAGAGGACCTTGAGAGACAACACTATATGATCGCATTTTCCTGATGAGGGAACTGAGGCTCAGCGACACTGAGTCACTTGCCCCTGAATACAGAGCAGGGAGACGGCTTGGAACCTAGCCCTCTCCCTGGGAGCCTCCCTCTCCTCTGCACACGTGCAGTACTGCAGACGGTCCCCTACTTAGGACACGAAGGTCCTGTTATGGAAATTGAAACCGGAGCACCCCCAGCCCACTAGTCTCTGATTCTCGCCACACTTCCAAATCACCCGGGAGTTAGGGAGGAAAGGTTTCGGCTTACTCAGCAGCCCCAGTCTCGCTGGTCAGCATGTGCCATGATGTCCTGGGTGACTGTAGATACTCAAGATGTCCAAATGTGCAAGACCCAGGGATCCATCTGCTATGTCGACTGAAGATCCGGTTTAACCTTAGCAGCTCTCTCTGTTGTCACCCAACTTTCCTTTCAGGCCATGACTTTTTCTCTGTCATGCATGATGGAATGCTTTACTTTCTGAGCCATATCCTATGTAACTTAGGTAACTCATCTCCATGGTCTTCACCCCCACAGTATCTTCCATGATTTCCCTTGATTTAGGGAAATTCAAACTTCCACATCCACAGAACCCTAGAACAGAGTGGGCTATTGAATTCAACTAAGCCAAAGACCTTGAAATAGCTGCACCTGGTACCCCCTGGGGGGAGGGGCCTAGAGTCCCTGCTAACTGACAATCACCAGACACGAAGATAAAACATTTCTGAAAAGCTCATTGTTAAGTGTCTATTCAAGACTATCTCTATACCTGTGATGAATGCCAAAGTACAAAAACATTTCCAGAAAAGTTACAGTCTGATTGCACTCAAAAGAATAAAGAAAAATACATTATCTGCAATCAAGTGTTGAAATGTGCAGAATGTAGTTCAATTGCTCAGATGCTGTTGTACAATCATGTTTCACATACACACCTACGATATAAAGTGAGCTACTATTTTCCTGGTGAAAAATCAATGATAAGTCCGTGATTTCTACGGGAAACTAGGATTTCAGTCTCAAATCAGTCAGGGTTTTCTTTCTGGCATTTAGTTGTTCCTCCTTTTTTAACCTCATTTGAACATCTTTGAGTTATCTAATAAGAAATGCAGTTGTTATGGCCACAACTAGTACTTTTTGTTGCAAATAAGAATTGTCTTGTCCTGGATGGTTTGGCTCAGCGGTTAAAGCATTGGTCCACAGCCCAGAAAGTCCAGGTGTGGTTCCTGCTAAGGGCATGTACCTCGGTTGCAGTTTGTCCCCAGTCTCGATTGGGGTCGTGTGGGTGGCGACTACTCGATGTGTCTCTTTCACATCGATGTTTCTCTCTCTCTTCCTCCCTCTCTCCCTCCCGCTCTATCTGAAGAGAAATGCAAAAATGTCCTCAGGTGAGGATAAAAAATAAATAAAATAAGAATTGTTTTCTCATTACCTACTTGCTCCTTCAATGTCATTCCGCGAATACATTCTCTAGGAGGACACAGTTCCCGGGATTTTACTTTAGGAATCCAAACAGTGACAGCCTCCCTTCCCCTGAAATGCATCAGCAAGGAGCCCTGACGCCACAGGAAGGATTCCTGAGATCTCCTAGGAGAAAATACTGCGTGACCTTGACAGTCAACGTCGGACTTCGAAGAGAAGACAAGCGCCTCGGGAGAGGACCGTACCCAGAGGCCTCCTACGTGCCTTTCGCAGCGTGTCATGCGGCAGATAAGTTTTTCCATGAAGCAGTCCAACCCCCGCTGCTGCAAGACCTGGTATTCTTTCTTTCTTTTTTTTTTTTTTTCCTTAAACAAGTCAGTACACTAACAAGAACTTCTGTCGAGTCTGGTGACTCTGTATAAATGAGTGCAAATTTAACTTGACACGTTACTTTCTTTCTAGAAAACAATTTATATCCGTACCATCACGGAATCCCAGTGCTGAAAGGACCTTAGCAGTCGTCCAGTCCAAACACCCATCTCAGGCTTGGACTGTTCGTTTCGAAAGAAGTTTCCCAGAGCAGCTGAACTGAGGGCCCAGGGTCAGATATTTTGCATGTCCCCGTTGCATCAGGACATCCTCGGAATGCTGATTGTTCTTGCTGGGCAGGTGGATAGGTTCTGGGTGCTTGGTTTGATCATCTGTAAGGAGTAGAAACTTTTTAAAAAATGTATATTTAAAGAAAAATGTCAGTATTGTTATTTTCATCTGAGACCCAGAGGCTCCGCGAGGAGAGTGAATCAGGACAGCTGGTTTCCAGCGCCACAAGCCTTCTACACTCTTTCGATCATCCCACACTCCTGGAATATTTGGACACACCCAAGAAAAAAAAAAAGTAGGGGGAAAAAAATAACTGTTTTAAAAGGAGATTAAAACAGGCTTTTTCAAAGCTACCCAATAGCCTCAGGTATCTATTCCTCTACATTTCTATTTTTCTTTTTCTCTATAGAAAAGTCTACACTTTTGAAAATTCCAGCAGGTTTGTTGTTTTATTATAAACCTCCCCTAAATATATGAAGATTTGAAAAAAATCCCTCTGCCAGCCACCCATGAAATAGGATGAGTCATTCTAAATGGCAGGGCTGGAAAACCGACCACAACAGAATAAACACAGGAACTAGCTGAGGCACAACAGGACGAAAGGTTAAAAAATCAGGAACAGGAGCCGAGAGAATCTGTCCTAGCAGACGCGTGCTCAGAACCCGGGGAGCGAAATCCAGTAGATCCCTGCGGGTAGGAGACCAGGGCGTGTGGCACCGGCTGGGGAGCGCCCGCCTGTGCAGTGACCTGCAGAGCGAAGAGTCCTGGCTTAGACTGCAGGCAGGAGCAGGAGAGAGGAGTCAGATGTCGGAATCAAGGCCTGATTAGCAAGTTCAACTGAATCAAGGTGAATTGACCAAACACCTCCCTGTATTCAGTCTGTATTCCCTGATTTAGCTGGTAGCACAGTAAAACAGTTTTGACCATGATTATGCAGGAAACATGGGGAGGGGGGATTCCAGAGAGGAGAGTATGAAAAACAGCAAGAAAAGGGGAAAATCTGGCCCATGGGGTGGTACCCAGAAGGTGCTAACAGCAGTACTAGCAGGTTTCTGTTGGCTCATCTTCATCCAAGAATTCAACAGACAGACCATACTCAAAGGTCCTATTGGTTTTCCTCCAGTAATAACAGCTGCTTCATTCATGGTTGGCATATCCGTCGATCTCAATGGGCTTTTTCCTTTTCTTAAAATCTTACATTTTACTAAACAGAAATGTAAAAGACTAGAAAAGTAGAAATAATTAGAAACTTATCTAGACACCACCACCTACTAGAAACTGGTTAATGGCAACATTTAGCCATAGTTCAAAATCTTTTAAAGATAACGATAAAGTTGAAGCTCCCTGGTTTCTTGCCCAGGATCATTCCTCCTCTCCGTCTCCAGAGCCAACCTCGATCATGCGTTAAGCAAGCCAAGGTTTTATACCTGCACCATAAGTAAGCACATAGATACATCCTAGAACAGTGTCTGTTATTCTAAAATGTTACAGGCATTGTATTGTAGGTATTCATCTACATTTTGTTACTTTCCAGCCAATATGTTTTGAGATCTGGTTATCTACATCTTACTGAGTCTCCGTGACCACACTAGTTTAAAGAGCTACTTAAAAAAAAAAAAAGGATCATTTCCATAGGGAAAATGTTCCTATTAGAAAGATTAAAGTGATGACTATTATGGAACAAAGAAAGACATTAAAAGGACTCAGCTCTACCTCCAAGGATAACATGAAGGTTTGTGACCCATCAAATTAAAAAACACATCATTTAAAAAAATTGCCATGAGTCCTAATGAGCCTAGATCCTTTTGCTTTTGACTTCACGGAGCTATTTTATTCAAATGAAAGTGCCCAGGAGATGAAAGCACATTTTCCCCCAAGAATTAAATTATTCTGTGCCTCGTCCCACAAAGTTCATTGAAGTAGAAAAAAGTAAATACTTATGTTCTTCCCTTTTTATAGAGTTTCAGCTTATTTATGTTAGGGCTTGTTTCAATTTTTTATCCTTATTTCTTCATAGTTGGTAATTTCCCTGGGCTGAGAGGGATTCGTTTTCCGTCTCTGAAACTATGCACAGAAGCCGTCTGGAGGGAGGGCTCGTTAACCTCATTAGTGTGCGTCTGTGGTTCTCTCTCATTACGTCACTGCAAGGCAATTTTTTTTTACAAGATCTCTTTTTTCTTTTAATCCTCACCTGAAGATACGTTTTCATTGATTTTAGAGAGAGAAGAAGAAAGAGAAGGAATAAAAATAAATAAATAAAAATTTAAAAAAAGAAAGAGGGGGGCAAGAGAGAAAGAAACATTAATGTGAGAGAGAAACATCCATCATTCGCCTCCTATAACGCCCCTAATCTACAACCTGGGTACGTGCCCCAATTGAGACTCAAACCCAAGACCCTTCGGTACAAAGGACGATGTTCCAGCCAACTGAGCCACACTGGCCAGGGCCGAAGCTGTATTTTTTTTTAAAGACCTCTTGGTGGTGACTGGAAGTTGACATAACAGAGCTTAACAACTTTTCTGGAGTCTGAAGGTCTGTGATGTAAATCCCCAAGTTTGTTTTTAAAAGGTTTTCATAATCCATTGTATAAATATACTTATTTACATAATTTCCAAAACATGCACTTGGAAGCCACAATCCCTCCAGTGTTATCTATTAGTAACTAGTAAACGTGGGATCTGTGAATTCCAACGCGTCACTGTGTCGCTGTCAAGTTTCATGGCAGTTGGAACGCAGAGGGCTTACCCCGTCTTGCTTCAAGAAAACATCTTCAGTACATCATCCACGTTGGAGAAAAGAAGGCTCCCGTGTTCTGATACACGTGACCTCTGTGGAATTATATCAGAGGGAACAGGAGTAAAATTAATGTTTGTGGGCATTGGACTTGAAACTGGCCTTCTAGGTAACATTCCGCCATCCTCTCCTCTAATCCACTTTTGTTTTGCCCCCTAACTTCTGACCAAGGCTATGGGGGCTTTAGTGGAAGTCAGAAAAGACAACACACACTGCCCACTGGAGACATGGAGGGTCTTACCAGTGTTCAAGTGGCTCCATGTGGATTTGATCTACCCCAGCTTCGAGCAGGGGAGCTTGGGGAGAGAGGGGTGGGCTGATAACAGTTTCAGCTGAGCGTTGCTTATCTTTTTGGCTTGCAGGGAAAGCACCTGCAGGCAACCTCTCTGGGTATTCGCAGCCTCAGATGCACACCTGTGGCTGACATTGAAGGGCAAGGACAGCCAGAGACCCTTTGGACCCAGCTTTCTGCTAGGTCTTGAATGGACATTTACCTGGCCCTCTATAAGTTTCTCCAAAAAAGAATCCTTCTTGACTTTTCTGCTTTAACATCCTAGGTCCCTTGTTGGTATCGTCTAGGCTTTTCAATTTGACAGAGGGTCTTCTCTTGACCCTTGGAAGATTTCCATTTTTCACTAGATTGCAAAAATTTTTGCAGGTTATCTTTACAGTTTGTTTTACTAATGCTTTCTCTGCATTTCATCTTTTAACAATAAAATGGAGAACAGTAGGAATGAGGGAAAGAGATTCAAACAAGGGGTCCCTGCCCTGGCCAGTTTGGCTCATGGGTTAGAGTGTTGGCTCGCAGACCAGAGAGACCCAGGTTCGGTTCCCACTAAGGGCATGTACCTCGGTTGCAGTTTGTCCCTGGCCCCGGTTGGGGTTGTGTGGGTGGCAACCAGTCAATGTGTCTCTCTCACATCGATGTTTCTCTCTCTCTCTCTTCCTCCCTCTCTCCCTCTCGGCTCTATCTGAAGATAAATGCAAAAAAAAAAAAAAATGTCCCCGGGTAAGGATTAAAAAAAACAACAGACAAAAAACAAGGGGCCCAGATGCCATCAGTCCCCCTGTGAGCTCCCCCCACCTCATACCTTCCCGCCTGTCAGTGGATCTCTCATTTCAGTCCCAGATGGTCACTTGACCTTGAAGACAGCCTTCTGGGAGAAGTTCTTAGTGCCACACCTAAAATCATTATTCTTGGCAGCTCAGTAGAGGATACAGGCTAAAATATTCTCTCTAGAGAGCTGTAATCCCAGCCCTAACGATGACTTAGTGGGGCCTGAAATACACACTCTTATCTCAAGATGAATAAGCTTACCAATTAAAATTCTTGATTTCTCATCTGCATAAATTTCTCACACTGTGATTGAGAAGAATGATGGATATTCTCCACTCTCCACTCAAATCTGGCCTTTTTAAACACTCAGTGTGGGCAACAGTATAGCTTTAAACCATAAAAGGACCAGACCCGTCCAGTGCCTTGATACCATCAGGATCATCATGATCATCATCATGATCATCATCACAATCACTTATTGAACACCTGGTCTTTGCAGGATCCCCAATAATACAAAGAAATGTAAGATGCAGTTCCTGCCCCAGAGGTGTCTCTAATAGTGGGTGACTATAAGGCATGCATATATTTGCGTACAATTAAAATAAATAGGTTTAAGGAAAATGATATGGAAAGTGTCTGCTCAACAATGCACCCAATAAATTATGCATGAATTCAAGAAAGGGAGAGAAGAGGGCGGCCTCAGGTAATTTAAAAATGACTTTAGTCAAGAGGTGGGAGATGACAGGAGAGAGGAGGGTATTGGATCTTTCAAGAAGTGTGTGAACGATTTAAACAGGAAGGAGCCCAACCCGACCTGTCCAAGGCTAGTTAATGGGGCAGAGCTTAAGGCTGAAGGTTTGTATTACCTGCGGGGGAAGGGCTGCC